AGGGCCGCCTGCGCGGCGGAGGAGGGGTGGGTGAAGCCGGGGGTCTGCCGCTGCAAGCCTGGCTTCTTCGGGGCCCACTGCAGCTCCCGTGAGTACAGCGGGGCCGGAGGAGGGGGTTGGGGGATGGGCCCACCTCCACCCCCACCCCGACCCACAGACGCAGGCAGATGGGCACGGCCGTTCCCACTGCCCGAGGGCCCCGGCGGTGGGCAGCTCCTGTCCTGTGCCTCCCACGGCACAGGGGCCCGGCGGAGCTGCCGACTGGCCCTGGCGCAGCCTCGGCTCCAGCTGCTCTCCTGCTCCCTTCACAGGCTGCCCCGACCAGTACTGGGGCCCTGACTGCAAGCAGAGCTGTCTGTGCCACCCGCACGGGAAGTGCAACCCCGTCACCGGCCACTGCACGTGCCATGCCAATCGCTGGGGACCTCTCTGCCAGTTCCCGTGCCCGTGCGGGCCTCACGGTCGCTGCCACCCCCTCACCGGAGCTTGCCTGTGTGAGCCGGGCTGGTGGGCACCGACCTGCAAGCGGCAGTGTCAGTGCAACCTGTCTGGCTCCCGCTGCGACCCCGCCACCGGGCAGTGCCTCTGTGCCCAAGGCTGGTGGGGCAGGCGGTGCAGCTTGCCGTGCGCCTGCCACCTCTCCCCGTGCGCCCAGGACTCGGGGAAGTGCGAGTGCAAGGCGGGGTTCTGGGGCTCGTTATGCCAACACCCGTGCGACTGCCTGCACGGGAGCTGCAGCCCCCTCACTGGGTCCTGCACCTGCAGCCCTGGCTACCAGGGCAGGAGCTGCAGGGACCCCTGCCCAGCCGGGCACTACGGACCGCAGTGCAAGCACAGGTAAGAGCAGCGCTCCTCTGCACCGGCTCCCGGGAGGGGCTGCCCAAGAGCCCCGTGGCCCAGGCGTGTGCCCCGCTGCCCAGCCAAGCTGGGGGAGGTCAGTGCTGGGATCTGAGCCCAGTTTGCTCCAGAGCCCGGCTCTTGCCCATGAAGGAGCGAGAGGAAGAGGAAGCTGTGCCGGGGTTGGGAGGCAGGCTGAACAACTGCACGTGACCCTGGGGAGTCCCTGCCGTGGGCTGCTGGCCAGCGTGGAGGAACAGGCAGCTCAGTTCTCCATGGGGCAGCCCCATAGGCTAACCGCCTGACCCTAATTGGGCAGGACAGTCCCGAAATGGGAGCATAAAGTCCTGATCCCGGGGTGCCGGACAGCACGTCTCAGACTGGCGGTATTATGCAGGGATCGGGGTTTTCCGTTCGCGGCGGGAAACGTTTCCCCTGCAGGCGGGCAGGGCCAGCAGTGCGGGGCTGCCCGGGGCTGGGGGGAGCGGGGTGCAGGGGCACCACGTGTCTGCATGCACACGCGCGTGTGGCAGCCAGGCAGCGTGGAGAGCAGCTTTGCAGGTAGGTCGGGGGTGAGGGGACAGATTGAGGCCCCCACCGGGAGGGAGGGAGGGAGTGGGGCTGGGGCTGGGGTGCTAACAGCTGGGGCAGCAACGCAGGGATGTGGGGCTGGCCGGAGGGGGCCCGTGGGATTTGGAGCCCCGAGTCCACAGCAGGCAGCCAGAGGGGAGAGGAGGCGGGCATGCGTCCTGCCTTTCTGTTTTGACACGGTGGCCAGTCGCCCCACGGCCCTGCCGCGTGCTGGCTCCGCCGCCCCAGGGAGGTCTCGTGGGGCCGCTGCTGCTGCCACCCCCAGGGACTGCACCGGGCATCGCCCTCGGGGCGGAGCCGCCCCTGCCCCCGGCTGGGCTCTGGGCTGGCGGTGCAGGGTGAGGCCGTGGGGAGCTCCCTGCTGCATGTGCAGGCCCGAGGCTGGGGCTGGCAAGGTGGTTCAGGCTCCAGCGGGTCACCGATGGCTGGGGTGCTGCTGCGTGGGGCGGAGGACTGGGGCCTCCGCTGCCTCCTGGTCCAGCCCCGCTACCTGCCGCACTGATCGCCTCCTTCCCCCTGATCACCCGGCAGCTGCGGGCACTGCAAGCGGAGCCAGCCCTGCTCGCCCATGGATGGGTTCTGCCTGGCCTGCGAGCCGGGCTGGAACGGGACCCTGTGCAACCAGCCCTGCCTGCCTGGACGCCACGGGGAGAACTGTTCCCAGGCCTGTCCCCAGTGCCGGGGTGGGGAGACCTGCCACCCGAAGACTGGCGCCTGCCAGGACTGCGATCCCGGCTGGACAGGACCCAGGTACGGGCCCTGCGCTGGGCAGGGCGGGGCCGCCAGCTCCTTTCTGGTCTCAGGCCTGTGCAGGAAGCATGTGGTGGGAGCTGCTTCCAGAGACCCCAGACTCTGGCCCTGCTAGTCGGCCACGTGTCCTGTCTGCCAACAGCCACAAAGCCGTGATCGCTGGTGCCCTCAGGCAGGGGGAGCAGAGACAGTCCTGCACCCTGTGGGGCCCTTACACCAGCACCCTTGTGCCGCAGGCGCTCCCGGGCCTCCCAGCTCTTTGGTGCTATCGGTGTCTGCGCTCCCGGAGGGTGGGATGGGGCAGGCTGTGCTGTGAGCCTGTCAACCAGGCACAGAGCCCAGGGGTCCTGGGCCTGGCAGCAGGTCTGTGCCCTGCAGGGCAGGGTGCATCCCGGCCTCAGTCTGCGTGTCAGTCCCATCTGATCTCTCCGCAGCTGCGATGCGCCCTGCCCGGACGGCATGTTTGGGGACAGGTGCCAGCTCCCCTGCCCAGTATGCATCAAAGGGCGCTGCGACCCGGTGTCTGGGGAGTGCGTCTGCCAGGCTGGGTACTGGGGCAGCAGGTAAGAGCGAGGGGCGCGTGGGCAGAGCCAGCCCGTCCCCACAGGGCCTCTCCCATCTCTCTCTCTCCCCACAGCTGCAATGAGACCTGTCAGGATGGGTTCTTTGGTGTGAACTGCTCGTCCCCGTGCCCGTGCACAGGGGGCCCCTGCCACCCACTCTCCGGGGACTGTGCACTCAGTGAGTGACGCCCTGCGCTGCGCTGCGCTGCCCGCACCACTTCCCTCCTTTCCCAGAGCCAGCAGCTCCTGCTCCCCGGCCCCTGTTCCCATCTCCGTGGCTTTGGCTTCCTGCTGCAGTCCCTCCCCGTGGGCGCAGATGGGTGCGCCTGGCACGACAGGCTCCGCACCGAGCAGGCGGGGCTGGGGTCTGCACCGGCAGAGAGCAGGGCCCACCTCTCTGCAGCCCTTTACCTGGACTGCAGCCCCTTGCTCTGTTGCTGGGTCTGTGCCCAGCCTGCAGTCTGGCAGGGCTGTCATCCAGAGCATGTGAGCAAGGGCAGAGCCACCCGCCTGCTTCTGCAGCGGAGTTGTTCCTCTGAGCCCGTCCCAGCGATGGCCAGGGAACTTCAAGCCTGGGTCCCTTTCATCAGCACGGCGCATTGCTGTGCCTTTTTGGGGGGGGCAAGGCCAGTGCCAGGCAGGGGTCCCAAACTGTCCTCATCCGGTCCCAGGGGTCTGGTGCTGCTTGGCACTTGCCGGGCTGCAGCTACTGTAGCACGGCCCTGCTGCGCCGGCAGTCCAGCACCTCACCCCGTGCTGCCTGGCCTCTCCTGCAGGGTCTCACTACCAGGGCGCCCTGATCGCAGGCGTGCTTGTCCCACTGCTGCTCCTGCTGCTCTGCATCGCCTGCTGCTGCTGCTGTGGGACCGGCCAGGTGGAAGCGAGGGACAGGTACCTGGAGGAGCTGCCTGGGGCAGGGAGGGGAGCGGCTACGGGCTCTGGGCTGGCACGGGCCAAGCAGAGCCACCCGAGGCAGGAAGAGGAGCGGGGGCAGCTCCCCCTGAGCCGAGGCCTGGTGGGACTTCTGTGCTCCCGCTGAAGCCCCTTGTACTGTCCTGCACCTCCCTGAGTTGCCAGCTCCTCCTCCTGGGTAAGTCGGCCCAGAGCCCCAGCACTCGAGGGTGGGCAGAGCTGGGGTGTCTCAGCTCTGGGCTGTGGGAACATGTGGACCCAGCAGCATCCCCCGTAGCATCCAGATCTGGGCCACTTCCTGCAGTGACCTGCAAATGTGCAGAGACAGGGGCCCCAGGACTCGCGCACGGGGCAGAGATGGGGTTGCTGCCTGGGGGGTTCTCCAGACCCGGCCTCGCTGCACGGCTCCCGGGGGCAGGGAGCTCACCCCTGCCAGGAGCCGGGCTTCTCCACCTGCTCTCCTCTGTTCCTGCTCCCCAGGGCAGCCGTAGCCGACGCGGACGTGCTGTCCCGAATGAAGCACCACATGCAGGGGGTGCTAGCCAACCTCAGCTCCATGCTGCCTTGCTTCTCGCTGGGGGGCTACAAGCTCCCCCGGGTCACAGGTAAGAGCAGGGCTGTGGGCTCTGCCTTGCCTTGTCGGGGCCTTCGCAGCCAGGGTTGGAGCCGCCTCCCGGCACAGGGGGGCTGGGCTGGGCTGGGCTGGGCGCACCCCGAGCTTTGCCCACTCCTTTCCACCAGCGCCACCATGAGCAAGCAAGCGAGCTGTGCCTAGCAGCCAGCGAGCGACTGCCCCGGAGGTGGTGCATCCGTGGGCAGCGGGGAGGTGGCGGCCAGCCTGGCACGGGGTCCTGATGGGGTCGCTCCTTCCCTTGCAGTCTCGCACCACGACACGGAGATTCCCTTCAACCCCAGCTTCATCGAGCCGCCCTCTGCAGCCTGGGCCTCGGACAGCTCCTTCTCCTCCTTCGACTCGGACGACGACGGCCCGGCCTACTGCGTCCCTACCATTGCCATGGAAGGTAATGCTGCCGTGCTCGGGCGCTCTCTCCGACCCCTGGGCAAGTCTCCCTGGGGCAGTCGGTCCCCTGGTGCAGAGGCCTTTGTGCGGGGTGACTTGCTGCCTGCACACGTGGGGTTGGGTTGGGGGGTCAGCCCTGGGAAATGGCACTCGCTGGGTCTCCTGCCACGTGGAGCTCCAAATCTTGCTCTCCTCCTGCTTTTCCCTCTGTGCTGGGAAGCCGAGGCTGCGTCTGCACAACCCACTCGGGGTTGCTGCAGTGGGTGTCCGAGCTGTGCACCCCAAGATGCTGTTGAGCTCGAAAGCTGCTCTCTGGAGCCAGCTCGGGGCACCTGGGCATCCACAGCAGCCCCACGTTAAGCCTGCATTGGGCCCCCCATGGATGTGTGGGAGCCTTCCAGCCCAGCGCCTTCCCCTCCACCCTGCCCCGTAACCCCAGAGCCGTGTCTGTGGGTGAAGGAGACGTGACCCCAGTGGCTCTTGTGCTGGGAGCCCTGCCTGTGGCCAGGAGCAGATGGCCATGAGCTGTGCCCTCGACCCCGTGGCAGGAGGTCCCCTCGTGCTGGGAGCCTTCACCCCTCCCTTCATTGTCCTCAGATGTGCCAGCAGGCTCTGAGCTTCAGGAAGGCGGCTCCCCAGGGAACGAGTTGCCGGACGCAACAGCCTTTAACTCGGAAGACGTCTCCCAGCCGTTCATCATCCCCCGCACGTCCAGCATTGCCAAGGCCAAGAGGCCCTCGGTGTCGTTTGCCGAAGGCACCAAGTTTGGCCCTCAGTGCAGAAGCGGCTCTGTAGAGATGCCCAGCACCTCCCGGAAGCCCAAGGCCTCTTGGGGTCTCCCCAAGCCTCCACCGGCCGACGTGGAGGAGAGTGCCCAGCCAAGTGGGCGGCCCAATGACTACGAAAACGCAGAGCCCATCGCCACGGGCGAAGACAGCCACCGGCCCTCGCCCCGGAGCACCCCAGGGGGCCGGAGGAGGGTGGTATCCAGCACCCGGCATGTGGCCCAGAGGGTGGAGGCCCTCGAGGCAGCTTCAAAGGTGGAGCAGAACGTCACGACCATTTACATGACGGTGGGCACGGCGAGGAGGGGCACCCGGCACAGCGGGGGCAGCCAAGGGAGCGGAGAGGGGCCGGTGCAGGCGGTTCTCAAACGGCTGGGCAGTTTCCAGAGAGGCAAAAGGGCCTCCAAGGAGGAGCCCAAAGTGTGCAGAGGCCCTGAGAGCATCCAGAAGCCTCCCCGTCGGGCCCTGGGCCAGGAGAGGGACTCCACATACACCCCCACCCCGCCCCAGCAGAGAGAGAGCACCAAGAGCCTAGGCCCGGGCACCGCTGAGCCGCCCGCAGAGCAACAGCAGCACTGTCCTGGGCAGAGACCGTCTCCCATCCCCGCAGCGCCTGGGGTTTGGGACGCGGAGGCCCAGGGAGAAGATGAGGCCGAGAAGAGCGAGGGTCCCGAGCGAGCTGGAAATCTAGAAGCAAACGGACAGGCAGCAGCTGAGGAAGAGGAGCCAAAGTATGAGAACGTGACTCCCTATCACAGCAGCCTGCCTCGCAGCCCCTCGGGAGAGTCCCCGGCCACCGCCGCAGAACATGAGGCCAGCCCCTGAGGCCCGCGGCGCCAACCCCTGCCCCTGCTGCTGACCTCGGCCTCCCCGCAGCAGAGCCGGAGCCAGAGGTGGGCAGGCCTGCGGCTCCTCTCACCCCAGACTTCCCTCCCCGACATGCTGCACTAGCTGGACCCATGCCTCGTGCCTCCCTCCAGCCCGTGCCCCGGGTCAGGGGCTGCGTTGTGCTGGGCAGGCTGCCTGCCGAGAGCACAGCGCTGGCACCTGATGGGCCACGGTGGGCTACATGTGCATGGGGTCGTTGCCAGGCATGGTCAGGCCGGGCTTCTCGGCCCCAGAGCTGGTCAGACATGACTGCACTGCGACTGCGTGGAAAGCCTGGGCGCTGACCTTGGTGCAGCTGCTCCTGGGCTTCCCGGGCAGCCACCTCGGCTCTGCAGGTTGTAGGGCGTCTTGGCTCCACTGGGCTGGCTGCAGCTGACAAGGCACAGCTTCTGCAGGGCTGCCACTGCCTGCCACGGCCTCCCCTGCTCCCACAGTCCCTGGGAGCCCGGGGGGAGGGGAGCCCATCCCTGGCCTCCACAGCTCCCCGGTCTGGGGCTGCCTTGCCACGCTCTCCCAGTTTTGCCTGCTCCTTTTGCTGCCTCAGGGGTGCTGGCAGGACCTGCTGCATGGGCCCACTTAGGAGTGGCCCCCTGGGGAAGTGGGGCCTGGGCTCGCGTGCCGCTCCGCTCCGCTGCGTGAGCACGGGGATGGGACTTGTTCCTGCCACTGGAGCGGCGGCAGCTGCGCCGCCAGAGCGCACGTGCCACCGAAACGGCTGGCAGTGGCCTGCAGCCGCGTACCCAGCTCGGTGCTGGGAGCCAGCAGCCCGCCGTCCCGGGGAGGCTCTCAGGAGGGGGAGCGCTGGCTTGGACTCCCGGCCGGAGGGGCTGTTGCAATGGGGGCTTTTTAGTTCACCGTGCCGCGTGGAGATGGAAGCAGCCCGGGCACGGTTCATTTTAGCTGCTTAGCTGCAGAGCGGTGGGTTCGCGCAGGTTTCCCATGCTGCCTTCCACACGTGCTCCGGTCCCTCCAGCTCCCGCTGGTGTGTGAAACGCGGCACTGCTGTGGCACCGGGGCCCCAGGGGCTGGGCTTGCCCGTGTATCGGGGCTCCATGCTGTGTCTATCCCTATGTCACTGGGCCAGAGCAGGCTCTGCCTGAGGGCGATTCCTGCCCTTCTGGCCCCAGGTCCAGCACCACACAACCAGGTCGCTGTCCTGCAGTGCAAAGCTGCTGCAGGCTGGGGGACGGGGGCAGAGTCCTGGCTCCCGCCCTGGGGATTCCTGCAGTTCTGGCTTGTTTGCAGGGATTCATCGCTTGCATTTGCAGACAACAGCGAGAGAGGCAGTGCGTGGCTGGGTTGGGAATGCCTCGGAGCGAGGAACCGTAGGCCGTGGCTCCTGTCGGGGGCGGTAATCCCAGGCTGAGGTCACTGGATCATGTTTTAGGGCTGCCAGGCTTCAGTTGTCCCCAATCCCCCGCGGGTGCAGAGCGGATCCGGCGCTTGGGCCCGCTGTTTCCTTGCCGCGGGCTGAGAAGAAGTCCCAGGCAGGGGGATTTCCTGGTTTGCAATCACGGTGGGTGCTAGACAAGGCACTTCTGCCCTGTGCCCTGCCCGCCAGGACTGCGGGTGCAGCGCCCAGCCCCGGGGCACAGGGCCTGTTCCTCCCGCAGCCCGCTCGCCCTGGACAGAATGGTGCCGGGCTCGGGGCCAGCCGGCTTCTCTTTGGCAGATGCTTTATTGCAGGGGCCGGGATGCATCTGCCTGTGGCTGCGCAGCCACGTTTCTAATCAGACGGGGTACTTTCGCTCCACCGGCAATTGAATTTCTACCCTCGAGTAGAAAATGTCTCTCACGTGAGCCGAGTGTCTGGGGCGGGCGTAGCTGCCCGCAATTACACCGTCTTTCCTGTCTTCAGAATAACCTTTCAGCTTCGGCAGAGATCTTCACCCTGATTAAAATGTCTGCTGTGGCCATGGGTTCAGTTTGCTGAGCGTTTCCCGGCGCGGGGGAGAGCGGAGAGGCTGGGCCCGGCCCGGCCCGGCTCGCCGGAGGGGCTCGGCGCGCTGCTGCT